TGTGTGTGTGTGTTTTAAGACAGGGTTTCTCTGTGTAGCTTTGGAGCCTTTCCTGGAACTCATTCTGTAGCCCAGGCTGGCCTTGAACTCACAGAGATCTACCTGGCTGTGCCTCCCAATTAAAGGCTTACGCCATCGCCACCTGGTTCACTAACTCTTTTTTAAAAAGATTAAAAAGAAATAAAAATGTGGAAAGTAGAGATGGGAGAATCCCAGAACCTCTTGGGCCAGCTAGCCTGGTGTATACTGCTGTAGAGAGGCCAAGCCTCAAATCAAGCCGAAGGCAAAAATCCACCATCATTGTCCTCTGATCTGTGCGTGGTGCCATACACATGCCTGCATTCACACACACACACACACACACTTACACACTTGCAGATCAATTTTAACACTGATTTGAGGGAGCTGGAGAGATGGCTCGGCCATTAAGAGCACTCACTGATCTTCCAGAAGACCTGGGTTCGGTTCCCAGCACCCACATGGCAGCTCACAACTGTCTGTGGCTCCAGTTTCCAGGTGCTTGATGCTTCTTCTCACACCCAGGCACACAGACGAACATGTAAAACTAAATAAATAAATTTAAAAAATAGGCTAATACGTGTATGACACCTGGCACCTAATAAGCAATAAGGGTTCATGGTATTTCCATTAATAGTTTGAGACAGGGCCTCTCTATGGACCCCTGGCTGTCCTGGAATTCACTATGTAGACTAAGCTGGACAGGAACTCTCAGAGATTACCGCCTTGCCTCCTGAATGTAAGGACCAAAGGTGTGCGCCACCACACTCAACTAAGGCTGCTTTGCTTTGTTTGGTGCCGTTCTGGGATGGAGCGCGGGGATTTGCAAGCACTGGGCAGGGGGCACACCTCTGAGCTGATTCACTAGCCCAGCAATGACTATTTCTGGAACATCTGCTCTGAGCAGTCAGCCAAGCTGGTGCTTTTATCTTGGACCCTGGAGCTTGGAGGCATGGATTCGGCTGAGCTCAGCACTGTCGCCTAGTTGTGTGGCCTTAAGGAAGTCATTCCTTCATCCTCCCAAGAAACCGTCATTCCTCCATCTCCAGCAAAATAGAGGAACTGGCAGAAGGGATCCAAATGTCACTCCTCATGCCAATCTCTGGATGAGGGCTGGGTGGAACGAGGCAGTGGAGGACAAGAGGCATGAGCTGCTGAGGCAGAGCTCAGCCCCCCAGGAGAAATCAGCCAAGGGAACACCCACAGCCTAAGAAAGGCAGGACAGAGGGATTGGCTAAGAGAATTTCCATAGTGATTGGAACAAATTCTAGATGCTAATCCAGAGGCGGTGTGAATAGATGACAGTCTCATTTCAATCAGCCCACTGGCTAGGGCCTCCCCTGGACTCCACAGGGCCGGCCGCTCTCTTGGAAGCTGGGATCTGGATCTCACCTTCAGGGTCAACGCTGACTTGCTCCCATCTAAAGCTCACATGCCCAGGAAAAGAAGTACTGTCTTCTCTTTGTATAGAAGTGATATTGAATTGCTGAGATTTCATTTTATTCATTTGATCATTTTTATATCAATTTATTTATTCTGCGTGTGCACACATACACATGGAAGTCAGAGGACCTTGACAAGTCAGTTCTCTCCTTCCACTGTGGGTTCCAGGAATGGAATTCAGGTCCAGACTTGGCAGTAGTGCCTCACCTGCTGGGCAATCTCACTAGCCCCATTACTGAGATCTCAAAAACTTAAGTTAAATGAAGAGAATTAAAATCACTATTACGTCATTCCCAAAGAGACCTGACACATAACAGTCAACTCCTAGTGCTTTAAATCTTTACTGTGTATTTTTAGATTTTCTTACTCTATGTATATGGATGTTTTGCTTGCATTTATGTATGAATGTGCCTGGTGCCACTGGAGGCCAGGAGAGAGTATTGAGTCTGCTGAACTGGAGGTGTGGATGGTTGTAAGCTGCCATGTGAGTACTGGGAATGGAAATCAGGGCTGAGCCATCTCTCCAGGTCCTACTTGAATACTTTTAAAGTTGACTTAGACAATGGTGATGTGTGTCTTTAATCTCAGTACTTGGGACACTGAGGCAGGAGGATTGTGAATGTGAGGCCAGCCTGAGCTACATAGCAAGTTCCAGTCCAACTTGGAATATACACTGAGACCCTGTCTCACATAAGAAATTAATTTAATAAAAGGGGATTAGAAAGAATCATCCTGTTTATTTAATATTGAGTTGAAGGCCTAGAAAAAGCAATAAGACAAGAAAAATTGTCCTGGTTACTGGTCTATTGCTGTGAAGAGACACTATGACCAAAACGCTTATGAAAGAAAGCATTTGATTGGAGGCTTAGTCCATTCTGATCACAGCAGGGAGCAGGGCAGCAGGCTGGCGGCACCGGAGCAGTTGCTGAGAGCTAATCCTGATGTGCAGGCCCAGAGGGAGGCTCTGGACTTGGCATGGGCTTTTGAATGCTCAAAGCCCACCCTCAGTGACATACTTCCTCCAACAAGGCCACACCTCCTAATCCTTTTAATCCTTTTAAATACTGCCACTCCCTGATTAATAAACATTCAAATATATGAACCTATGGGGGCCACTCTTATTCAAATCACCACAAAAAGAAATGACCAAAAAAGAATTTAAAGTCTATCCTTCTAGTCAGTATCTATATATCTAGCTACTTAGATGGACATTGTCATTAAAAATTGATCTATTTCACAAACTGCTCTCTATATCTTGAAATGGTCTTGCCTACTACTTTGTTTTTTCTGAGACAGGTTCTCACTGTGTAACCTGGG